CGACGTCAAGTGTCAGCGCGCTGTGACCCAGCTTACGAGAGAGACTACGAGAGCCAGGCAGACAGATGACGTGCAGGCACGCGTGACTGCCATTCAGACACTTACATGCGGAGGCTGGGCATAGGCGCCATTGGGAGGCTGCTGGGCCGTGGGCGGTTGCCAGTGGGCGGGAAGCTGGCCTTGGCCACCCTGGTGAGGGAACATGGTGTCGCGCGGCGGTGGTCGTGTGCGGTGCTGGCACGGCGGGGGCTCTCCCAGTGCGACGCAGCGGTTGGGCGGACAGCAGCGCAGGTGGAAGAGAGACGTCGGGCAAGAGAAGGTCGGTGGTGGTGCGGGAGATCCTCTGGGGCGGGTGAGGTGTCACAAAATACTGGCAAGCGGGCCGCAACGTCGGCTGCAGGTGAGAGCGACGGGCAGTGCTGCGTGGGCGAGCCAAGCCAGTCGGGGCGGAGGGAGGAGGGGAGGGTGTAGGGCGGCGCGTAGAGACGGGCGTGCAGGCGGCGTGTAGGCGGGTGTGGTCTGCACGAGGAGCGTTGGAGAGAAGGGCAGAGTTGGGCGAGGGAGGCTGTGGAGTGAAAGGCTTCTCGAAGCGCGTGGAGGAGACGACGGGACCCAAGAGCGTGGAAGCGAAAAAGGAGATTCAGGTTGGAGCGGCCGCTATTACTACCCACCGCGTGCCCGAACTCAACCTTCTCGCCGCTTCTACTGGCATGGCGTTTTTATCCCTGCCCGCCCCATGCAGCGACGACGGCGACGGTCCGCCAAACGCGCTAAATGCCATGCGGCATCCTCACTTGCAGCGCGACGTGCAGCTGGGCAGCCCACCCATCCGCGCACACGAGCTACCGGCGAGCAGCACGCTGAGTGCGAGCCGCCCCTACCACGTCGTCGCTGCCGCCAACTGTCTGGCCTGTGTATTGCGACCGCGCCCATGACACGCCCATGACGCCGCCCATGGCCGTGCCAGCTGCCCCAACCTTGTCGGCCACCCATGTGCATGATGCTGCTGCGGGCCGGCAGCTTGCTCGAGATGTGTGACTCGCCAAGCCCTCGGGGACTCCCGTCGCGCTGTGATCTACGAGCCTTTAATTACATACACACGCCGCCGCAACAAATACTAGAAAGCCCACGGCTTCCCAGTCTGCCCTGCACGCCGCGCCCTGCCTGCACCGCGCTTGCTCCAGAGCCCTCCCGTCGCTGCTGCACTGCGCGTGCGTCTACCGTGGCACAGTCGCTAAAGACTCATGGAACCACCTCGGGCTCTTGAATCGTCTACGGCCCGTCTCTGCGTCCCTCGTGTCGCTTCCTCCGCCAAGCCCATAGCTCGCGCATTCGACAGCTCACGAACCACGGTACGCGCCTGCGTCCGGTCAGCTTTGGTCCTACCCTCCGCGACTGGCCCCGGCCGCCTGCTGCAATATGCTTTTTGTACACATGCATCGTGACGCTGCCTCGTCCTCCCTAGAACTGCTTCTCCGACGTGTCCACTGCAACTGGCCGCCTGCAGCACCACCCGCGCACCTCCCTGCCCTAACCTCGAGTTCCCGCCTGCCGTCTGCTTCATTTGCGCACATGTCTGATAGGGCTGATCCATTCGGGGCGTCGGTCATTTTCCTCGACAAGGACGGCAGCATCCCTGTCCGACTGTTGGTGTGTAACACTTCGGCAGCTACGTCTGCTTGGACAACTGTGACGTGAGTGCCCTCTGTTCGCTAGTCATGGCCCTGCCGGTGCGTCTCGGCGACTTCAGGCACTCTCCTTCGCGGGGCAGTGTCTACGGGAGAGCCGATGTCTTGCGCCGGGAGAACCGTTCGTTGAGCGCAGCAGCACCTCTTTTTCGCCTTCACGCGCAAGCTGCTTGGTCATAGAGCCGATTCTGGCCACTCTTGCCTGTGAAGAAACCGTCCGACATCGTCTCTCTCAGCTGCTATTGCTTCGTGTAAGACGGCCGGCATGCGACGCAGCCCACTTTCCTCCTCGAATCACGCCTCTCAATCTGACATCCACAATTTGGCAAACCGTTCATCCCTTGCGCCGGCGAAGGCTTGCGAATTGGTGCCCATGGCAAAACACTTCCTCGCGCTGCTGATTCGACGCCTCCACAATAGTCGAGACAAACCGATACAAAGAATTCGACGGCACTTGTGCCTATTTTTTGGTAGTGGCGGTGCCGCAAGTCCCGCTGGTGACGAATCTCGGACTTGTGCGGATGTAGGCACGGTGGCATGGAGAATCGCGAAACGCCCAGGGCGCTTTCAGCCTCGGCTCCTCGCCGGCCTATTTTCACCTGACTGCATATACGTGACGACGCCCACACCTGGAACAAAGAATAGTCAGCAGTAGTTCATTGCTATCCACGCTTGCCTAAGCACCTCGTCCTGTGTCTCTTGCCTCGAGATTAGGGCGGACGGCCCGCACTCTCTCAAGCTTAGTTTTCCACCGTCCAGGTCTCGGTCAAATTTAATCGACCAATCAGCACGTCCCCTGCCTAGCATTCAACTTACTTGGGCAAATCTCAGCATTCCAGCTGGCATGTGCCTTGCAGCTGCTGCTCGACGGGTAAATCCTATCGAGCACGACAAAAAACCTTGCTGCAGTCACAAGACGTGTCTACCGCTCAAAGCCGTCGTCCCGGTCACAGTGCCGTTTTCACTCATTGGTACCGTATTCAGCGGGATGACCGCTTGCAGCCAATCGCTTTTAATAATTGTTGTAATTTGATTGACTGCCACACCGTATTTCGCCCTTTCGAGTCAGTCACGAGCGCGTGATAGATGAGGCCCAATGCAGTCATTTGTCTGCGACTATATTCGTCTGAAACCATCAGTCCAAGGAGCGTCATCCTTGACTTGGCCGACAATCAAGGACAGCAGCCTTGTGTTGCACATTGAAAAAGTGCCGTTGAATGCCGCTGATGACGGTTACACCAAGTGAGCGGATTGTGGGGTAGATCAACCAGGATCTGTTCTGGACGTGATCTTCAGCCGCCTCGGTCGATTCACCCAAGCAAATAGCCGCGCAACGTCCATCACCACTGCAGTGCAGACGGTAAGCGATGCTCAGCCATGGTGGTGGCCATGGAGATTGCGACGCCGCGCGTGGACGGTGGGAGCTGGCTCAATTGGAACCAGGTGTATTCGCGGCTCGGGACGAGATGTGGAATTCCCGCGTGTGTCCCGTTGATAATTAGATTAACGAAGTTTGTGTCACCGAAGCCTTCCCGCAATATGCATAGCATAGCTGGAGATTGCGGAGTCTACCCATTCGTGTCACCGTAAGCAGCGCAAAAGGGCCATGTCGCTTGTGCTGCATTCTGTGTACCGCCAATCTGCAGGTAAAACCAGATCCAGATATATCAGGCGGGAAGATATCGTCAAGCCTCCGAGACGATGCCTCGCCCGTGGCACCGTTCTAGTGTCTGACAAGCATAAAGAACGCGGGCAATGCTTCCACAGCGCGTCCGTGGCCAGTGCAAAACAAACAACCTCACCGATCTGTCAAGGTGTGCTGGTGCGATAGAGGCGTGGTCAGTCTGGTGATGGCGTTGCATCGGTGTACACGCATTCCTTTGCATCCTGATAATACTTTTGATGCGCCGCAGTACCGCATGTTGCTGATGCTCCAACAAACGAGTTTCCGTCCTTGCAGTAGTGGTGTGAGGGACGACATCCTGTCGGATAAGCGGTATCCCATCTCCGTTCTCTACCCCAGCGCTCGTCCGCCTCATCTTCGGGCAGACAACGGTGTAGGCTCGCCTTACCGAACCCGGCGGAAGGCCGAGAAGGGCAAGGCGACACGTTTTGGCTTTGCGAGATCCAGCTGTGTCACAAACGCCGGTAAATATCATCTAGAGACGCGGAAGGGGTGGATAAGCGGACGCAAGCCATTGCGGGTCGATGGATCAGCCCGAAGCGTGCTAATTCGCGGAAGAAAGAAATATCTGCAGCTCATCGGTGTGATGGACGGTGGGATTCAATAGACACAACGAGTTGCCTTATAACCACACCGCCTTTTGAAGGCATTCTGAAGCTCCTCAAAGCCTCGTTATTCAATTGGAATGCACTGTGCAATGCAAAATCGCGCCGTAGAAGGACCACAGCTCGCATTGAGATTCTGAAGGTTTGGCGTTGGAGCTGCTGGCGTCATGCTTACACCACGTCAAGCGCAGCCCAACAGCGTAAGCCGCTCAACTTTCCGCTTCTTATGAGTGCATGACGCTGAGCGATGCAGCAACTAACCACCAGCTACTCACGGCGCCGGTAAAGATTCGCTGAAGCCTTCGTCATGAGATGCAGCTGGCCTCGATCAGACGCGTTAGGGCGTAAACCCATGCATCCCAGACGGACAACGAGTGCGCCCCGAGCCGTAGCCGTGTATAGACTAACGCAACGTGTGCAGCATGTCACTGTGCCAAAATGGATAGTGGGGAGGCCAGCTGATCGGGGCCTGGCGATTATATAAAGCGATAGCTGCACACCCTGGCAAATCCTCTGCTGCAATGTCATAGCGAGAATCTGGCATCGATGCGGTCAGCCATCTATATTGCGTCGTGATCGAAAAGAGGGAGAGTGAGCACTGTGCACTGCCTCCCCTCGTTCGTTTAGCCAGGGAAAAGCCGCTAAGAAAGACGGCAGGCCCGCGTCTGAGCGTAGCTTTAAGAGGGGGCCAGGGTACGAGGAAGCTAGATCCGAAATGAACAAGGCCCATCATAAGACCGAGGATACTGCATTTGGCATAAGTGCTCCCGTGACCTACTAGCGCTGCATGTTGATCCCAGTTATCCGCTCCTGCTGGAGCTAATGCTGCACGATGACTTAGTCTGTTGCATGGCATCGGTTGTGTCAACCAGTCAGCGCCACCGTGGCAGGGTTACACCAGCGTCTATTGGCGGTCTTTGCGCTTGCGTGGCCCACTCCTCCACGCTCCCACAAATGTGTGCATCTAAATGACTTCGGCTCGAAGCACCGTGCCTCGAACATGCGTTGTTGAAATTGCTCTCATCAAGCCTCGTCATCCTCTGCGGCGTTGCTGTCATCGTCGGGCTCGGCATCGCTTCCTTCGTCCTCGCTCGAGTCTGACGTGTCGTCGTCGGGCATCGCGATGCTGTTCAGATAGGTGATCTGCCACGGTTGTTAGCGGCCTTGTGTGCAACGCCTCCCGGGAGATTGCTGTGGTCGTCCTTCACACCTGAAGGATTTTACGATGGGCGGGTGACTGCATTGCCAACGCACTACTGGCCGGCACTATAGTCACCCCATCGCTTGCACCGTACAGGCACTTCCCTAACAACTTGCCGCCGCTCTTATCTTTTCTTGTCCAATGGGAACGTGAGGCCGTTTATCTCAAGAGTATGGAAGGATAGACTTACAAAGGGTACCAGACTGGCAATGAGTTCACCCACTCGCTCCAAGCCCCCAGAACCAACAATTTCATCGTCTGCGAGCTTCCGCCCCATGGTGTAGTTGCGGAGCCGCATAAGTTCGATATCTTTGTGGTCATGGTCATATCCCTGGAGAGGTGTCAGCAAACATGAACAGCTGCAGTGAGTTTGAAGTTTGAAGTTTGTTCATCATAATCCCCGCGACTGGGCTTTGACAGACTGCTGCGAGCAGAGAACCCCGCCTACTCAAAGGGTGCTAGCTATGACAACTCCAACTCAGCTCAACTTGTTGAGTGCGGGGCGACTTGAAACTCTATTTGCCGGACGGCACACAGTTGTAACGCACAACCTTCCAGTACGAGACTGAAGCTAATTGCACGTCATCGTGATCGTGTGCCGTTCGCGAGATGGTGTAGCGGAAGAGTTTCATGGAGATGCATCCTTGTAGGCGGGGAGCTTCCGTGCTAGTTTTGGTGTTGAACCGTGTCAGGCGGCGGACAGTACCCGATCGCGGCAAAGCCGTTACCAGACCTTGCAAAACTCGACTCTGCTTGTGAGAAAACGTCGTGACCATGGTGTTTCACAAGCAAAGTTCATGCTTAATGACACGAGAGCTGTCTGCTGATACCCTGCTGTCTCAAGGGATGGATTGAACAGATGCTGCATACCTTTGGGTTGCGTTTCAGAGCATTCGACTGATTCATCGACAAGCTCGTGAAAGCTTTCACAGCCTTCTTCTCGTCATCTTTGACTCCACCAAGGAAAGCCTCTCGAATACCAGAGTTCGTTAGTACGGCCTTGATCTTGTGCGGTTTGCGATCAATGTCGCGTCGTAGTTTGGCCAGAGTCGACGCGTCAGGCTGCCAGAAGCCACCACCTTTCAAAGTCAGCGCATTCTCGTGTAAGAAAGGATATCAATGAGCGTAACGCGCAGAAGCCATTGTCGCGCCGCTAACTATGGTGCCGCTTGCATGCGCAGAATGGATATACACTGACGTGCATCAGATGAGTGTACCATCCCGACGACACCTCGCTGCACGCTGCCAACCCCTTAAACGGTTCGATACGTTACCTCCCGGATACCGCGCGGTACAATCGAGAAGACAAGATGTTACCCTACGCTGTCCGACGAGGCATAGGCACATGGGTCCAGTTGTGTGGCATGGTGACCGTCAATATTCCCCGCATGGCCATAACGTGCAGCGCTGGTCGGATCTGTCAATCTGACCGCATAGCGATGCATTGTCGTCTCCGAGCCGGCAGTCGTATAATGCGACACATGGTCAGTAGTGCAAGGTCGACCACACGACAAGAGTCGCTGTAGAGCCGAGGCTCGCAGCAGCTGTCGTGGTGACGAGCATTGGGTACACTTGCATACTTCATGCACATGGAGTCGAAAGAAGCAATGCGGTGGCCACGAGGTCACTTCGCACTGCGCTTGAGTTCCACGACAGCTCGCGGCTCGGGTGTCTCCGCGAAGACGAAGAGAGGAGAATCGAACATACCTACGAAGCTACCACCATTGGGTTGCACCTGGATGTAGTAGTGTGCGTAAGGTCCCTTGCGTCCCTGCGCGTCGTATACAATGTCAGTGTGGGGCTCACATAAGCTTGTACCCATGTGTGACTTACAGTTCTTGACCAGGCCGCAGAAAAGTAAGTCTAGATCAGGTCAGCCTGCTTTGCATGTAGCCATGAAAGGACATCATGCTGAAGCTATTCGTCGGATCGCAGAGTATATGCCACAGCGCCATGATGATTTGGCAGCATGCTGTGTCTCTCGACTTCGTGACACGGCTTCAAGGGCATGACCCTACCCTAGCGTGAAAGCTCGATGTATTCACTCACTTTGTACGGGGTTGGGTCTTTCGAGAACCGAATGTCTTTCTACTGTGAGCATAATCCAGCTAAGACCATACTTCGGGCTCACCTCTGTAAATCCGGTAGATCTACACGTTTTAGTAAATCGTACTGGGACAATCCAATCGGAAACACTTACCACATCTTTGACAGGCAACTCTGGGATGGTCTCATCTGCCTCGATTATCTTCTCAGATACCTTCTCCGCAAAAGTGGTGAAATCCTGGAATGAAACTCTAAAGTCAGGGTCATGGACTACGATGTAGACGTCAGCTAGTGGTCCGATCGTGCCGTTTGACACGAAACATAGTAAACCATCACTCACGCTTCAGCCATTGGCGGTCATTGTTAGCCGTCAAGTCCTTAAGGAACAGCATAGTATTTGGGTGGATTGTGTGATCCAAGTACGGCGTGTCGCCTGCATCTCGAGCCTTTGGTTTCTTGATGATCAGCTGCGTTCCTGGTGCGAGCTTCGCACCGGGTTTCCATAGCTCTTTCTCGCCAGCGACCTTCTTGTGTATGGCAAGGCTCTTGGTTTCGCGCCCTCTAGGAGTTGCTCGCTTGCCCTCAGGTTCGTCGTCACTGGCGGTTTCATCGTGCTCGGATTCCGACGATGGATCCTTGTCGCTATGTTCCTCGTAGTCAGATGCTACAACGTCATCCTCGTCACCGTCGGATGCGACGTCTGTCTTGGGTCTGTTCCCGTCGCTATCCGTGTCGCTCTCAGGCTCGACGTAAGACTTCCTTGCGGTAGCCCGTGCTCTCTTAGACTGCCGTGCTGGAACCTCCGGTGCAGGACGTTTAGAATTGCTCCTGGGGGCTGGAGCACTTGCGCTTTTAGTGGCTTTACGTGGCATGATTTCGAGTGATGCGATTTGAGAAAGTGATAGGCGTGATACTCAGTTGTCATTGCAGGTGCCTTCGTGGCTGCTTGAAAGATGACGCGCGCACAGACCATCGATGACGCACTCGAACGCGAAAATACAGCGCGCTGTCACGTTTCCACCCCAGCCAGAAAGCACGCCCGACTGACATGCCGACACGCTTCGAAGCTCGCAAGCAAAAGATCTTGGAGCAACTCGACGCTCCAGACGGCGAGTATCATGATCTGTCGCCCAAGGGATCTGTCGATGCGCCCATCCGAGATTTAATCGGCGCGATCAACAGTCTCCCAGGACTAGTCACCACTAGCAGCTGTTCGGGGCGCATCAGTGTGTTTTTGGAAGGACGCAAAACAGACAATGAAGTACCAGATGCATTGCCTGAGGGCGAGAGTTCACGCGCTGGACCAGGAGGAAAAGGTGGTGGGGGTGCTTGGCTGTTCATCTCACACACGCCACTTGGGCGAGACGAAGCAACAGGTGACCTCATGTCAAAGTTTGGCTTGAAGAAGGCTGAAGCAACGGAGGAAACACCTAGCGCGTCCAGCAGGTACATTCATCTTAAATTTGAACCTATGGTATCTTCAGTCGTCATGGCACGTTGACATGGTCTGACGTGGCACAGATACTCCACGTCCTGAGTGCATCAATGGATCATGCCCAAGGCGTCCTCACTGCTGCCTTAGCTGCCGGGTTCCGTGAGAGTGGCGCCGTGAGTCTAGGGTCAGCGAAGATAGCAGAGTCAAACCCCATGGTGGCTGTCCGGTCAGCTGGTTATTCATTCGACTCCATCATTGGGTATCAAGATGGTGATGGCCGCAATGTTGCCTTGGTAGACGAGCGGTATCTACGAACACTAGTAAACATCGCAAACGAGCGATTCAACATCAACTTCGATCGCATAAGCCGGTTTCGCAGGGCCCTCTTGGGTACGTACGAACCTACTGCGACAAGTGGATCCAAGCCAGATTGGGAAGATGCGGACGCGAGGAAACGACGGAAAAGAGAAGAAGGCCTTGCGCGGCAACAAGCTCTGCAAACTCAAGTCTCTCGAGAAGACAATAATTCATCAGCACCAGAGAACATAGACAGCATGGGAGGGATATTCTCCTGATAATACGTGGCACAAGACAGACATATGCGCATCGACGAGAATGCCTGTGTTGAACACAACGAGAGTTCTACTCTGTCGTAAACGAATATGAGTCATGTTCTGTCTATCACGATGGCGAATTTGAGTTCACGATGAGTGGTTGCTTCTCTATACTTTGTGGAGCCACACGACAATGTCTCCGACGACTAGTCTCCATAGCTCAGAATTAGAATGAGAAACGTTCGGCCAGTTGTGCCTCCACCGACTTATCGAATTAATGTATGTGTACACAAAACTCTGGAGTCGTACTTCTTTCTTTGCATGCTGTGATATCCGGTAACATAACGCCATATACTGCGTGTTTCCCAATCCATTTTGGTGATGCTCCACCAATAGAGGCTTAGCGTACATATGTCTCCGACGTAGATCGGCGACTTTGCTCCCATCTTCGCAACCATCTTCAGCATAGAAAAGGAACACTGGATCCTCTCCAAACTTTTCAATCACTCCTTCCGCATCTTCAAAATATTCTACATATCCATCAAGACCGCATCCCCATTACAAAACCCCCAGAATTACCCCTCACCATAACCCACCATCCAACATGAGCTACGCAGAAGCCAACCGGCGGTACTTCGAGTACGTCACACGCCTTTTCAAACCCCACGATAAGATCATACTAACAAAGTACAGTGCCATATCCGACTCCTACGACAGTAAACCGTGGTTCAAAGTCGTCAATGACCGAGTAGCCACCACCCTACGCTCCGACCTCTCATGGGTCGGCATCCCCTTCACAGATTCCACCACTCAACCAGTCCGCCTCCTAGACTACGCATGCGGCACCGGCCTCATGACCCGCGTCTTCGGGCCCTACGTCACCTCCACCCAAGGTATCGACATATCGCCCAACATGGTCTCCACATACAACACACGCGCACGCGACGCCGGACTCTCCGAAAACGTAGTCAATGCCATCGTAGGAGACCTATTCGACAAGTCTGACCCTAATCCCGAATCGCTTTCCGGGGATAGGTTTTGGAGTTTCGACATCGCAACTGTGGGGTTTGGATTTCATCATTTCGAGGATGTGGTGTTTGCGGCGAGGCAGTTGAAGGAGAGGTTGAGGCCGGGCGGTGTGTTGGTTATTAATGATTTTTTGGAGGGAGGGGATTTGTTGGCGGCGGAGGATGGGAGTATGATTGAGGGGAGTGAGGGGAATCATGCTGTTCATGGTCATGGACATCATCATGGTCATGGGGAGGAGAAGGGTTCTGGATCGCATGGTCATGGGCACCACCACCACGAGCACCATCATCACCATGATGCTGAGAAGAAGCATGATGTTGGCGAGAGTAACACTGAGTTCCGCCAGAAGATGAGCGCCTCGATAGTGGTTCCGCACTTTACTATCGATGGCGTAAAGCAGTTCTTCACAGAAGCTGGGTTCGTGGATGTGGATGTCATCACGATGAAAGAGAAGAACTACATGGAGTTCGGTGGCAAGAAGCTGTGGCGCACGATTCTGTTTGCCAGAGGGCGCAGACCGATGGAAGGACAAGATGGCTCGGGAAAGAGTGAGCTATAAAGTTATCCTAAAAAGGCGGAGTTCAGTCGTCACTGGAAAGTGTTGCAGTGTAGTTAACATCGTGAGCAAGATCAGCAATAGATAGATTGTATATATGGGATATCAGCAACCAACACAAACATAACACCCAACACCAGACCAATTGCCGCTCTATCCAAGAAAATACCAGTCTACCACTTCCCCTCCAAAGGCAGATCTCGGCTTGAGAAACCCACACCAATACCAAACTCGCCGTTAGGCAGCACCCAATTCTGCCTCTTGACATCCCAATAGCTCAAATCTCTTCTAGTCACATCAAACTGCACTAGCTTGCCTGCATTCTTCTCAAGGTGAATCTTCTCAAAGCCGCGCAACACACGAACTGGGAAGTCGACGGGCTCACCCGTCTCGTGGTCTTTGTAGTTTTGCGGGAAAGAAATGTAGAGTTGGACTACCGATGCGCCGTCGACGGGTCCGGCATTTTCTAGGGACGCCGATACAGTCAGAAGCGTGGTGTAGAGATCGGGGTTGCCGCCTGGGCCACCGCCTGCTTGGCTAAGAGGAGATGGTGAAGCGGGGGTCGTGGGGTCGGACTTCTTGATGCCCTTCACGGAATCTAGCCATGGGTAGATGAATCGCTCGACTTGGTTGAAGCCCTCAGGGAACAGTACAGATTTGGGATCTGGTAGGTCGGTAGAATAGCTTGGTGGAGTCAGACCGTCAGGTCGAGGCTTGGGAAGAGGTGTTTTAGCGCCCTTTTCTTCGATGAGGAGAGAGGACAGCTTGAAGTCGGTGTACGAAAGACCGTAGCCAAACTCGAATCGTGGGGCGATGTTCTTCTTGTCGAAGTAGCGGTAGTCAATGTAGAGACCTTCGGAGAAGTCCTGTTGAGGCGCCAGACCATCCTTTGGGGTGGGAAGATACTTGATCTTGCTGCCTGGGCCGTAGTCATCTTCCTTCTTGGCGATTGTGTAAGGTAGACGTCCAGATGGGTTGACGTCACCGAAGAGTACGTCTACGATGGCGTTACCAGATTCGGTACCGGGAAGATTGGCGATAATGACGGCTCTGACATTCATGATGTCGATGAACTTCTCCAGGATGACAGGTCCAACAGTGTGGATGACAACCACCACATCGCCCATGCCTTCTCCGCAATCTTTAGCAACATCCTGAATTAGCTTCTCGCCGCCCTTTTGCAGATTAAGGTCATTCCTGTCACCACGAATGCCCTCATAGTGCTGGTAGCCTTCTCCAGCGTCGGCGTTGGCGAAGACAATGCAGAGGTCCTGATCGACGAGAATCTCCTTCTGGCTAGGTAGCTTGTTTTCTAGCCAATCGGTGACGTAAACAGTCTCGTTGTCGAAGGCGTCTCGAATAGCGGACATGGGCTCCACTAGATACGAGAAGTTGACCGCGCCAGAACCCCATCCTGAGCCTAATGTACCTTCGTTGCAGCTCTGATCAGCGCAGTGGTTGATTCCCTCATGAGGGAGACGTGCATCTTCACCAAAGACACCAACACGGAACTTTGTCTTGGCCTTGCCGCCAGTCTTCCAGCCCTTTCGGTCCAGAGGCAGCATCTTGCCCTCGTTCTTCACCAAGACGGTACCTTCGGCAGCGACGCGACGGACTAGGTGTCCATGGGCTTCTTTCCCTTCTCCTTGTGCGTTGACGTACTGGTTTACGATGCCTGTTTCGTGGTCCGATGGGCTGCCCTCGTGAAGCTTGCCGACCCGGTCGTTGGTCCACGAAGAGAAGTTTGGTCCGTCATTTTCCCACTTGTCCTGGCCAACCTGATACCAAGATGCCACAACACGAGTAACCATGTCGTCGACACGATCGATGGGCACGCTTCCATTGAGAACCGCACGGGTGAGCTCAGGGCCCCATAAGCTGTTGCCCTTGGCCCATCTCAAGCCATCTCCAGGCATGGTCATATCCAAGCCCGCAAGAGCACTAGCCACGCCTGAACGCTGTGCTAACCAGTCACTCTGAATAAAGCCCTGGAAACCAAGCTCATCCTTTAGGACACCGTTGAGCAGCTTGGAGTTTTGGCAGGCATAGCTTGAATTGACCTGGTTGTACGAACACATGACGCTGGTCACTCCAGCTTTGACGGAGTCGGCGAAGGGCCATGCGTAGATCTCGTGCAGTGTGCGGTCGTCGATGTTGCTCGATATCGCGTTTGGAAGGCCCCACTCCCATGCTTGTCTGAAGTGCTCTTGTTCGTTGGCGACATAATGCTTCGCGGTAGCCATGACGCCCTCCTCCTGGATGCCCTTGATGGTTTGGGCAGCTGCAATGCCCTGTAGAACGGGATCTGAACCGAAACCCTCCCAGACGCGACCACCAGCTGGCATTCTCCCGAGAGGACCCATGGCAGGACCCAGCAGGACGTTGACGCCCTTGAGGCGTGCTTCTTGGCCGTGGGCCTTTCCGCGTAGGTACATGAGTTCCTTGGACCAGGTCGCGCCAGTGGTGATACCGGCAGGGAATGCGGTGATATTGTCGGCGAATCGAATACCCAATGGGCCGTCCTGAACACATTAGTCTAGTCCTGAGACATGCGGAGTGTACGTACCTGTAGACACAAGCTGGGGAACTTCAGCCTGTCTACGCGCCCAGTCTGGCCGACGCAGAGATCCATGCTCCATCCTGTGCCCGTTGTGATGTTGACCTTCTCAGGCAGCGTCATCTGCTTGACCAGGTCCGCAGCCCTCTTGTAGCTGTCCTCCCATGCCTTGTCGGTGCCACCCTTTGGCGAGGGGTACCACGGCGGACTCAGCCCATCCTCAGGCACCGAGACCTTGTATGCCCATATGCCACCCGAGGCGAGTATCAAGACGGTGGCGGCGACGAAGACCAGCAGCCAGCAGCAGCACCGTCCTGGCGCACACCGCGACTTCCTTTGCTGTACGGGGAATGGGGCCGCGTCCTCGGTGTCTCTGTAGGACGCCTTCCTAACCTTGAGATCGCCGGCGCTCTTCTTGCGCCTGATCTTGCTGTCGAATGCGAGTGGGTCGTGTTCTTCGAGATCTTCTAGCGTCCCGTTGGATTCGGAGGAGAAGCGCGTCGGCGTCTCGACATCGTCGTCGACGGGGTTGTCGAGCTTGGCGTACTTGCCACGGCGCATTTCGTGGGCTTCGTAGGGCGGCATTCTGGTCGGAGCCGGGGCCTGCTTTAAAGGAAGAGGTGGGCGGTGTTGTGTCGTTCGCAGCGCAAACGGCTAGGCTATCGATGACGGCGCGAGCGTGAAGCTCTATGATGTTGAGGCTAGCATTGAATGCAAGACTCCGGCAATCACGAGGGAGTGATGGATCGAGTAAGAAGGTTGCAAAAGATGTTTCTGTGGGACAGAAGACACGGCGTACACAGCGAGCGTCGTGGTTGAGGCGAATGTTTCACCGGGCTGGCTTGCGCGCGAT